TGAGTATATATAATAAAGATTGTGAGGTGCTCAGTAACTATGGTGATGGGGCCCTATAATTACCCAAGTTAGACCTTAGGATTTGACCTGAATAGACTCTGCAGAAAATCTTCATTACATAAGCATCGTTTCTTGCACAAAGGTTCATGTACTTATGCCACTGTTCTTCTGTACATGTAATATATTATATAAATGACAGAGGATGTTTGATTTATGAATTTTTAATTCTGTAATTGGTTAGTATTTATTGTTGGTGTGTGCTGTTGTGTGGTATGTGTTTATATGTCTATAAGAGCTATGCAGCTCCCATTGCTAAGCTTTGTTTGTTTACAGTATTTTAAAAAATCAAAATAACTAGTGTATAGTGGGATAGAAATGAACTTTCTGTTCATTTGGTGCTTTCTATTAAGAGAAATCTAAAACCGGAGCTTTTAAATTAATATAATTATCAAATATGTTGGGCCAAATTCTGTTCACACTTAAAATGGCATAAAGCAGGTGTAATTTCGTCAGTGTTGTTACTTCAGACTTACATCATTATAACTGAGTGTCGAATATGATCCATAGCATACGAACCTGTATTACTAAGCTAAAACTATGTAGTCTGTGGATGCTGTTGCTTAGAACCAGCTGTGATTAACTTTGTGACAATTGCTATTAGAATATATTTCTATAATCCTTACAACATAAAAGAGCTTAAAGGGATAGAACTGTATTAATTCATTTGATGTCATATTGTATTTTGCTGTATACTGTTGTTGATCAATATATCAGTGGTGTCAATGGCATCCTATCACCTATAATGTCAGCATCATGGGTGTGCCGTTACCTACTTTATTTGACATTTCCTTTTGTTTCTCTAGCTGCAGCAACTTGCCAGATGCTGAACTATTCCCAGTTTTATTAGATTAGCATTTACATCAATATTTTAAAATAAATATATAGAAAAAACAACCAACCCAGTTCCCAACACGTCAATTGTTGTAGTGCATAAAATGACATACGAATCATCTATGTCAAGTCATGTCATAATGTGGTATGTCATATTATGAGGACAGAATATACTCAAAGTATTCTATTTCTTTTTAGATCAAAACACTTCCTTATTTTCTAGATTAGTGTCTCCTGTTCAAGTTGTAATTAAACAGTTTGACACTTTAACAATTATTTTCTTATTGAAAGTGTCAAACTACTTCATTACATCACAAACAAGAGACATTTTCAACAACAAAATAAGGTGCTTTAATCTGTATTAAGTAGCAGCTGCACCAATATTTTTTTTGTAAATAAAATACAATAAAAATAAGAAAGTAATTGTTTTGAATATTATACTTTGTCTGCATAATATGACATGATATGTGAGATGCATTACTACTACAGCTAATGAGACATAATGAAACATAAAGACAATAAATACTATGAAAAGGAAAACATTAAACATATTTTGTTTTGAAACAATTTCAAAAATTTTCCTAAACAAAATTTTCAAAAGGGATATTTTATCAGAATTTCTATTCCACAGGAAATTTCAAAAATATTTATGTTCTGGTTTGGAACATAAATTTCAATTTTTTCTGCAAACAGTTGAAAATCCAATTTTCTATCTCTACCATTCTGTTTCAGATTACAAAGAGAAAAAATCTAAAATGCTAGCTGTGGATATTAGATAAAATGGAGGTTAAAAATGTTTTCTTTCCTACAGAAAATACAAAGGACATTCTGGTGATTTATGAAGAAGAGGCAGAAGAATGGGCTCTGTATTTAAAATCGCTTTTCAAACACATTATAAAGGAAGAAGGAATCTTACTTTACAACCTAGAGACTTTATCTTTTCAGCATCTGGGGTCACACTCTCTATCCTGTTATAGATGTAAACTGCTCATACTATCAAATGGACTTCTAAAATGCCTGGATCAAAAGAGAAGATATTTCTTGGACAGGGTCCTTGAGCCTCCAGGTAGGGTAGTGATTCTACTTTGTGGGGTGGAGAACTCAGACGTTCTACATGAGATACTGACCTTAGACCAAAGAAGCCAAGAGATCTCCACCGATCAGGATCCCGAGGAATATCTCTCCATTGTTGCTGGTGTTATTCAACAAGGTAATTTTAAATTTTAATCCTGCTGATGATATATTTGTCACTTAATTATGATTAAAGTTATCCTACTCTTAGATCCAGAGTAAGGAGTATGCAACTTTGGAAAGTCTAACACTTCAGTGAATGTTCTTCAGAAGCTATCTGGTGAGCTTAAAGGGATGATATACTCTTGTTTCTCTGACCCCTGGGTTCAGATAATTATATCAATCTAATGGCTGAAAAATGTGTATGCATGTCTCATAACTTTCAGTAAAAACAACGAGGAGTCCTTGTGGCACCTTAGAGACTAACAAATTTATTTGGGCATAAGCTTTTGTGGGATATAATCCACTTCATCAGATGCATGGAGTGGAAAATACAGTAAGCAGGAATAAATATACAGCACATGAAAAGATGGGAGTTGCCTTACCAAGTGGGGGGTCAGTGCTAATGAGGCCAATTCAATTAGGGTGAATGTGGCCCATTCCCAGCAGTTGACAAGAAGGTGTGAGTATCAACAGAGGGAAAATTATTTTTCCACTCCATACATCTGATGAAGTGGGTTATATCCCACGAAAGCTTATGCCCAGATAAATTTGTTAGTCTCTAAGCTGCCACAAGGACTCCTCGTTGTTTTTACTGATACAGATTAACATGGCTACCCCTCTGAAACCTGTCATAACTTTCAAATTGTCTTGATTTCTTAGGTCAGAACTTCCTAGGCAATGTGCTAATATGGAAAATATGCCAGCCACAAAGTTTGGGCTCGCTTCAGTCATTCTTTTTTTCTCCAATGCACACACAAGCTGAAACAGTATGCTAATCTTCTGCACCAGCTGAAACAAGAAGTTTCTGTGAAATAGAATTGCATCCTGTATATGTTTGTTATATGGCTGCTGAGGCAGATCAGCACTGAGCAGGAGGTCAACATAAGAGTTATTTTAAGGCTACGTCTTCACTACCCGCCGATCCGGCGGGTAGCAATCGGTTTATCGGGGATCGACTTACCGCGTCTCGTGAGGACGCGGTAAAATCGATCCCTGATCGCTCTGCCGTCGACTCCGGAAATCCACCTCGACAAGAGGCGGTAGCGGAGTCGGCGGCAGCGCGGCAGCGGTCGGCTTTCCCCCGTCCTCACCACCAGGTAAGCCGACCTAAAATACGCAACTTCAGCTACGGTATTCACGTAGGTGAAGTTGCGTATCTTAGGTCGGAACACCGCTGTAGTGTAGACCTAGCCTTAGAGCGTACGTAGTAAATAGGTCTTGTGCTGGCCCATTGCACAGGGTTGAAATTCATTTGCTCGTACTTTACTGTGCTGTAGAAATGGAACTGAGGAGTCACTTTGTACCTAGCACCATCTGTAGTCAGTTTTGTAGGAAGACTGTATCGCAATCAATTTGGGGAGGCCACTCCAGTAATATTATCACAGGCTCCACACACATCACCCAATATGCACTCCTGATAGGCATTTGCTGCTGCTGTTTTTTCATAGCCTCTCAGTCCTCTGTCTGCTCCCAAACTCCTTCTGTTTTGTGTGGTTATACTACTCACACACACTCTTGCCCCCATATAAGTTAGTTTTTTGTTACAGCTGCTGTTCGAAAACTTTCATTCAGCGTGCAAAGTGCATAATCAGTGAAGCAGGACATGAGCCTTGACCTCAGAAACTGCACATTATGTGCAGGGTAGAATGTTGTGCTGCTATCTAGCAAGTAGCTCCACACCAGAGTTTCTTTTCTTTTACTTTCAAAAAAAAAAAAAAGGAAGGAAAGTCCATCAAAAACTTGACATTAAACATTTGAAGGTTGGAAAATGAAGTACTCAAAAGTCAGGGAATATGAATTAAATCATAGCGTCTGATTTTTTTCCTCACTCCCTTGTCCCAGTCTTATGCTAGAGCTACTCCACCAAAGTGCTGTCATGAAGTGGAGTTGCACCAGTATAAAACTATGGCAGTGGTGTGGAGAAGTAGACCCACAGTCTTTAATTACATGAACATGGATTTACTCTGCAGTAACACTGGTGTGTAACTGAAAGCATGCTGGGACCCAAGTGAACGGACATGACTGTACTTACAAAGAGAAGTCCTAGATCCCCTCCTCTGCATAAGCTTCTTTCTGCACATTTCCTGACGATTAATATTTCTCCCTGTAGGACAGGGGTAGCCAAACTGCATCTCACAAGCCACATGTGGCTCTTTTACAGTAAAAGTGCAGCTTGTGGAGGCCCCCCCCTCCACCTGCCAGATTGGGGTGAGGGGAAGTGGGAGAACTTGGGACTTCTGCCCTGTGGCAGGGTGGTGGGACTAGGGCCTTCTGCCCAGTGGGCGGGGGTCTAGGCGCCTCAGCCCTGCACGAGGCATCTACCCTCTTGCTGAAGGCCCAGGCCCTGGCAGGCGCCCCACCACCCTATCACAGGGCAGAAGCCCCGAGCAGGTGCGCCTGGCTATTGAACTTCTGAAGATTATCATATGCGGCTTGGAGGATCAGTAAGTTTGGCCACCTCTGCTCTAGGAGCTCCTACATTTCCCTCAAGGCCTCTCTTTCCTTTTATGTTCTGGAGTAAAGCTAATCAGAGTCACCCAAATTGGCTTTCAGAAGGAGTCATCAGAAAAGTTCTGCACCTTCCTACAGTGCATTACTGATGCTTGACTATTAAATGGGAGAGAGCTCTTCGGCTCAGTAACCTCGTCATTCATGGGAATTAAATCAATGGGATCACACCAGAATAGCTAAGAGGAGAATTTAGCACAGGGACTGTACTTCCACATCAGTGGAAACTACAAACAGGAAACTGCAAACATTTATTAAAAAAACAAATATAGTTTCTTAGAAGAAAGGTGTTTCTTCATTTTGGTCAGTTGTCACAAAGCATTTTTTTTACAGTGTCAGATTGCAGAATATGACAACGTAAAGTGACAAGGCACCCACAATATCCTGTCTCTAATAGTGGCCAGTATCAACTGCTTCAGTGGAAGGTGCAAAAAAAAAAAAATGCTGTAGTGGACAAATATGAAAATCACTTGATTTACAATGAAAGGTTCTTCCTAATCTGTATCAGTTAGTGGTATGCCCTGAAGTGTAAAGATGTACATCTCTTATATTGGTTACATCTGTCTAATGTAGTTGTGGATGTTTGCATTATCCATGTTAATCTTTTATTTAGAATCCTGCAGTGATTTTTCACAGATTATTTTACGGATGTTGTAAAACCTTTTTTTCCTTTTATCAGTTTTAAATTTGTTGCTTTTTAATGAAAGGACAAGTGATACATTTGATTTACCTTTTGTATACCAATGTTTTGTATGCCTCCATCATGTCTCCTCTTACTCTTCACTAAGCTAAATACTTTCAAGGTTTTCAGTCTCTCTTCATGTGGTAGCCTGCCCACACCTAGGGTAACCAGACAGCAAGTGTGAAAATCAGGACGGGGATGGGGGGCGGGGGCAGTTGGTGCCTATATAAGACAAAGCTCCAAATAGTGGGACTGTCCCTATAAAATCGGGACATCTGGTCAGCCTACCCACATCTCATTTTAATCTTCACACAACGCACAGTCAATCTGTGGAACTCTTTGCCAGAGGATGTTGTGAAGGCCAAGACTATAACAGGGTTCAAAAAAGAACTAGATAAATTCATGGAGGATAGTTCATCAATGGCTATTAGCCAGGATGGGCAGGGATGGTGTCCCTAGCCTCTGTTTGCCAGAAGCTGGGAATGGGCGACGGGGATGGATCACATGGTGATTACCTGTTCTGTTCATTCCCTCTGGGGCACCTGACAGTGACCACTGTCGGAAGACAGGATACTGGGCTAGATGGACCTTTGGTGTGACCCAGTATGGCCATTCTTATGTTCGTATTTTCATCACCTATCTCTGATCCCCTCTGTTTCTGCAACAACTTTTGACGTAGTGACCAAACAGAACACAAAATTATATATATTTTACTCCTTCCTTTTCCATTTTCTCATAACATTATTCATTGCTGCTAATTTGTTCACTCTGCACATTTGTACCACCTTGCACACTACCTCTTATGCCTCCTAATCAATATTCATAAAACTCTCCCATTCTTCTCCTTAAAACCCATGTATTCCACGGCACATTTCAGTATTAACTACCTGACACCACAGCATCAGTTCTCTGCCCCTGAGTTCCATTCATTGCAGGGCACAGGAGGCCATTTGGCAGCTGGTTTTGGCTCCATGATTCAGTACTGGGCTAGTCCAGGCATTAGATAGAACAGAAGAGGGTCTGTTCTGATTTATATCACTGGTTTACAATCTCTCAGACATCAATGTAGATTAGGTGTTAACAAACTCTGCCCTGCCGTGCCACTACGTCAGAGTGGGTGGCTGGCACAGAAGCAGGGTTTTCTGGCTTTACGCCTGGAGGGAGTTCTGGGCAAGGGGATTCTCTGCTAGTTAATTTCCAGCGGGACTCTATTCTCTTTGTGCTGTCTGAGCAGCATGAAGTGGATAGAATGGACCAAGAAATCCAGCTCCATATCTCTTCATTTGGCTGAAATATCCTTTACCACACCATATTGTGCCAACTTCAACCCTTTGGCATTGCTCTCCAGCTGTGTAATCTTATTGTGCTAGCCAAATAAATAATACTAATTAACATGCACACTTCAAATAAAGGTGTTAGTTGATAGTTAGATAATGTACCCCCTAGAGATCCAGTTCACAGCATAGCATGATTCAAAGAAAACATAAAATCAGGAGGGTTTGCTGTCTGTGGTTGAGAGCATACATAGGGGGAGCAAATGAGGAACTGAGACTCAGAGATTATGCTTTGTAACATATGTTTCCTGGATGGTGGCAGGTTTTACTATGTTCCTATTTAGTGCTAGGAAGAATGCAAATATTTTTGCTGTTAAGAGATTGGCATAGCAAGACTTCTTAAAAGGTGTGAGCATTTTTACAGTGATGTTCTCTTGAGCAGCTCAATTAAACCTTTTCTTCTGGTTTTTTAACTGCCTGAATACTTGTCATTAGAAATATAGGCTGTACAGA